GCTCCCTGGCGTATGTTATTAGTTTTCCTCAAAAAAAACATTAAAAATTCTCAAAAAATGGTGTTGTATGCTTGTTTTAGAAAATAAAAGAGAGAATTCTGTGATGTGCCTAGCATTCGATATGTTTTCTTCCTTATTAATGATAGGTTATGTAACACTGATATACATTCAGTTTGCCATAACTGGTTAGTCACCATGAAACAGTGTCAGGCCACAAAGGTTATGATGCCATAAACCTAATCTCTCCTTGGTTGTGCCTTTATCATTAAAGACTTCTTTAGAAATCTGGAAGTCTAGATTAACCTTATAAACTGTCATCTTCCCTGCAAAAGGAGCTAGTTCCCATCAGTAACAGAGGTCAAATGCAATTATCTATGTATTTCACTATGGTCAAATAATTCCTTGGTACCCTCAAAGTCAACTGTGGTTTGAATTTTATTCTGGGAAGAGCACAACTATAATGTTAGTTGGGCATATCTCTATTCCCTGCTATTAGCTTATAAAGCCAATAGTTAACCACCTTAAAATTAAATGTTATCCCTTTAAATTGGAAATGAATTAGACCATGGTATTTCCCTGGGCTCAAGGATAAAATGCCATGGAAATTAAAGAAAATAGTTCTAATGCCATGAAACACAAAGGTCAGATAGGGTGAGCTGATTACTCTCATTATTAACATTACTTTGCATTTAGATAGCCCCTCTCCTTTACCAGACTCATTCTCATTCTAGCCCACTGCTCAGTAGCTGAGCTGCCTGTGAAGCTCCTGATGACATCAAGGGTGATCTTGATATGGAAAAGCGAGTCAAGAGGGGAGTGAGCAATTAACCTCTAGGCTTTATTAGCTCACTCTGATCCTTTGCAAATGATCTGCAAAAGTAGACTTACTTAAAAATAATCCTGTATAATAAAAGCCTAATATGCAAATCAACCAAACTGCAGAACCAGTGGAATGACCGTTTGCTATGATGTGCACTGACCACCAAGGGGCAGACACTCAACACAGGAGCTGTCCCTAGCCCACAGGCCCCAGGACAGCCATGGGAGGTGACTGGAGGTGGGGAGGGGGGGAGGCGTGGCCGGTGAGCAGGAGATGCCAGGCCGGCCAAGGCAGATGCCAGTAGGGGCCCCCGATCACCCTGCAGGTCATCCCACAGATCAGTCCTGATCGCTGGCCAGGCCTAGGGACCTTACGCATGCACGATTTTCGTGCACTGGGCCTCTAGTACCCATATAAACTTAAAGCCTCTCCTGGAATTCCTGATTTATCTGGATTTCAAATTCTTTTTCAATAGAAATTTTAAATTGCAACAATGAGTGTGTGTGTGTGTGCGTGTGTGTGTGTGTGTGTGTGTGTGTGTGTTTAGAAAATTTGGATAGTTATTGTCTAAGCCAGACAATACTAAAAGTTCTAAGATTTATAAAGACAAACAGAAATTAAAAATAAGAGGCTTAATTTTCCTTGTTGAAAATAAAGGAAAAGGCTTCTCCCTCTTTTAGATAATTTACGTCAGAAAACATAATTGTAAGTACTTTCTCCTCTCTTTGAAATGTATATAAATCCTGTGGAAAATTAGACAGGTCTTTTGTCGGTTCTATAACCGAGAAATGTCTTTTTCAAACTGGGAAGCATCTCTTGAAAATGTAAATAGCAAAAAAATAAAAGCACCCTGTGGAGGGTGGGAGCCTAACTTCAGTGAGATCCTTGCTTCAAGTTGGCAAAAGTACCTCCTTTCATAAAGACATGAGAATTTGATTTTTCCTCTGGATAAAGCCAATATGCTAACAGAATTATCAAGTAATTTTAGGATAATCTATACGTGAAAAATGGTGGTGTCAAGTCCTCCTACTTCAGGTCTTGTTATTGTTTATCTTGAAAACATATCCGTAATGGATTGCATCTGCTTGGCTATATAAAAGAATGAGATTTCTTTCTGCCTTTGCAACCTCTTAGTAGATTGCCTGTGATGAGCACCACATTCTAGCTTAATGTTTATTCAATGATAAAAGCGTTTTTATCTCCACTGTCTTTGTGGAGAGAATTTCTGGATTGAGAGATTTTGTTTTTAATTGTTTCCCCAACACATGACTGAGCTTTTAGTTAGAATTATGGACTTGAAAGAATAATAGAATATACTCTGTCAGCTGTTCTTAACCATAAATGTGTACTTGACTCATCTGCAGGGTTTAAAATACAGATTCCAAGCACCATACTCAGAGATTCTGCCACTACATATTTTGGGTGAAGTAGTAGAGTCCAGACTTTAACAACTAGCCCAGGTGATTTTGGTGCAGGTGGTCAGTGGGCACCATTGTAAATAGATGTTTTAACATAATTTTTAAAATTTACCATATGAAAAATTCTTCCTTTTACTGTCCTAATCACTCCATGGCTCATTTATACATTTTATTTACCTTTACAAATATTTAACGACAACAGCAGCTAGATCCTCTCTGTTAAGCAATCTCTTTTTGCATTTGGGTTTTCTTTCTCATCCATAACAGAGTAAGAAAGCATTGACCATCCTTCTCAGGCCCTGGCCAACGCCCTGGCCCCTCACTCTCAAGAGAGCCGCTGCCTCCCACCTCACTGCAGAGGTAAAGACAATTAGCGTCTCTCAACTCCTCTGCCTGTGTCTTATTTCTCCTTTGCTCCTACATCAAAGAATCAGCTATCACTTTTCAAGGTTAACTCCTCCACCTGTACCTTAAATCTCTTCCACATTTTATTTCCTTGTTATCTCAATTATTTCAAATCTCTGAGTACTTTCTCATTACTCATTTATATTCAGTTGTCTCTAATCCTCTAATCCTAAAATTCTTCTCATTTAAATAGCTGAGTTAAGTTATTTCTTCCTTTCCTTTACTAACAAAATTATCTAGCTAGTAGTCAATTTTCAAAACTTTAGTTTCCCTGTTCCCCCATTTCTTGCTCACTTGTTGCACAGGGATTCAGCTCTCACATAGTTGTTTCCAGTGTCATCCTCTCTCCTTAGACTCAGGGCCATATTTTCTACTACTGGACAGAGGCTGCTACTCTAAGTTCTTAAAGCACCTCAAGTTCATTTTTTCCAAACTCCAAATTTCTTTCTAAAATATGCAAGTGCCCTATACTTTTGCTGTCAGGTAACAGTATCAACATAAAGTTATCCATGTTCAAAACATCCTCTAGTCTTCTCTCACCTCCCAAATGGAATCAGTCCTAAAGTGCTGGTGGGAGTCCACCACACCGTACCTACGCTCCCACTGTCACTGCCTTCATGCTATTTCTCTCTGCCTCTAGTCTCTTCTGACGTGTGTCTATACTTTTCCCAATGTCTGCTTTTTACAACAAAATGTGACTTTTCAAACTCGTCAGAAAGCATGTTTAAAAAGACCAAATGACTCTTCACTGCCTATAAAATAAAGAAAAACACTTTTATTATACAAATAACACACCAAGTATTCTTGGGGAAAAAAATGAACCTGACTTTACTCAAATCTCTAATTAGTTTATAGGATATACAGGAAAGGAGGAACATATTAAATGACACATCGGAGTGGCAGTCAACCAGATCCAGAGTGTCAGAATCCTACAAAACAAATGACCAAATACTTAAAGAGATAGATAGAATTTTACAAAAGCAAAGGATAGAGAGGAATGGTTATAAATTAAATTAGACTTAAGACACATATTAGTAAATGTGGATGTTTTAAAAACAAAATGCCCAAATATTAGATAATATTAAGGAATTATTAAGTTCATTAGATGTGCACATGAAGTATAATGATTTTTAAATTATTCTTTGTTATGAATTTATTTTAAAATATTTCAGAGATGGGATCGATAAGGAAGATAAAATTTATAAATTTTGATAATTGATGAAGCTGATAATCAATATAAGTGCTTTTTTTATTAATCTCTACTTTTGTATACATTTAAAATTTTCCATAATAAAAAAAAAAAGTAAAAACAAACCAACCAAAGCAAAACATCATTTCTGGTATTCAAAACCATTAACAAACCGGCCTTTGCATGTTTACCTTTACACATTCTCTTTCCTGACCTCCAAGTTTTACTTAACCTGCCAAACATCTGCATCCTAGGTCGGAGCTCATGAAGACATTCCCACACACTCTGGTCTTTTCTCTGGAGAAAGCCAGATTGCCTCTGCACGTAAACTAGAAATCTCACATCAACTATGTAACAACCTACTGATAGCTCCGTTTGCGTGTATTGTTACCCAGCCTGCTCTGGACACAGGAGTAATGACAGGAATGGAAAAATGTAAAATGTGGTAGAAGATATTTCAATTTGGATGGTAGACTTGAAAAGTAGTTTCAGATTGTCAAACCTTTAATTTGAAAATGATGAACTGTGGTTCTATAACTTTATCTCATATGAAATGACAAATACTTACATGAATTGTTGGGTTTACATCTCGTTGAGTGCAGATTTGAGCAACCTGAGAGACAGGTTTAACAATATGGTCAAAATCTCTTATCTGTCACCAAACTGACAGACTGCTGTGAAATGCACTCTGAAACTGGCCTTGTATTTTAATGGTGACCAACATTTTTTGAAATAGTATTTTTTGAGTATTGCATAATATTTCACAATTATTTTCTTAAGTGTTACTTCTAATAAATCTATTAGCATATATGAGAAGTTTTGAGACTCTGAATTAACTTATGAGGGTAAAAGGCATAAATTAGGCAAATTTGGAATAAAATTAGCCTTTCCCAATTTTATCACCCACTAGCCAATATTTTTCACATCTGTGAGCCGCTGTTATAATGATATTAACTACGATGAACACTTTGTATGTTAATGTGGATGTAATTTACAACTCCAGAAAAATGTCTTTTGTCATTTGCCATTTGTTAATATCCACTTAATATAGAGGGGTCCCCACACCATTTTTCATATGTATTTAAATGATTTACTTTCCAAACATAATCACTCTT